GAAAAGCGGCCTCATTTCCCTCCCAGACCGAACCTCATATCACCCCCACAGCCCTTATCAAGCAGCATGGACGTTAAGGAAGCAGGAAGCATGCCAAGGGTTCCCCCATACAATCACCGTGCTGGGTATATATATCTGTAAATATCGAGGTTCAGTCTGGGAGGGAGATGAGGCCGCTTTTCGCCGAGGCATGTCTTGGGGGCGAGGTTTTAGGGTTTCAGTTTTAAGGTTAAGATATGCATACTACTAACGAAAAGATCGCCATTGCAAAGCTCCTCTATCATCACACATTTTCCCTGAACCCTTGAGTCCATGTAGCCTGTACTTTCCCACAGGACGGACAGCCAGGAGCCAAATCGCTGCCAGCAATTTCCTGAATCTGCTTGTGCTTTGATGAGATTCGCGAGTGTTAAACTACCCATGAATCTTCCAGAATGGGGATTGCCTCAGGATTAAGACCCACAGTCCTATCTGTTCCTTCTGGGTGGTATCACTTGAGGTTCATGGCGTTGGCTTCACTTTCTACCAGCTACCACTCTGCCTTCCCCTTTGGACTTAATAGTGTGGTGATTTGCATTTGAAAACTAAAACTATCGCCGCACACCACAGTTTGCGGATTGCACCCTTGAATACTCCCCCTTGAGGTTTGCCATTGCTTGGGCGTATTTTGGGCAAATTGTGGCTGATTAAAGCGTGCTGCATGTTGCTTGGCAGGGCCCAGGGGAATTTGGGCTCAGGAGAACCAACTACATTGTCACCAGTCCTAAGCTACTCAGAACCTCACCCCTAATCTCAGGGGGATGTTCCTTTGTACCCTGAGGGTCTGTACCCTTGGGTTTGGGTCCCAAACGATGGAATATGGCCCTTAAAAAGGGTATTTGGGACCCAAAACCTTGGGCTACAAACATTAAGGCCACAAACTTAAAGTCTTTGACAATCTGCACCCCGAACCCTGAGGCCCTTAGACAAACTGTGCCGTCGAGAGGAAAGCTGACAAACTCAACGATCGAAACCACGAAGCCCTAAGTCCATCATCCTTTACCCTCTGCCAGAATCTCACGACCCCCAGAAAATAGTATGACCCCAATATAATCCTAATATTACCCCAATGGGTTTCCATGTTTCTTTGCCATTGTCCCCATATAACCCCCCATATTATCTAAGCTTTAACGCCAGGAACCTTGAAGCATCGATTTCTTGCCTACCTATCATTCATCAGGGCTTCAACCAACCTCAAAAGTATGTAGAATAATCGCCCTAAACTCATAATAACAGCCTTAAATGCCATTATCTTACATACTTTTGAGGTTCAATCTAAACTCTAAACCACAAAAGCGACAACCCAGGCACATGCAAAAACACACAACAAACAGATCGACTCCGAGCATCTGATTGTTGGGGGCAGCCCAAGCCAACACACTCTGGAGATGCTGCCACTGGGATTTGTTGAGGCGCACTTTTTCATTCTGCGGCGCAGTGTAGGCCTGCCATACGGTTTGAAGGGCAAAATCCTGGGCAGGGCCTTAAATAACGTACCTAAACTTTACTCGGAAGCCATGGTGCTATGATGTTCTGAAGGTGATGCCGGATGTAATCCATCAGCAGGATGCCCAGGATTTCAGGCTCAAAGCTGGGGATATGGAACTTAGGTTTGTAGAGGCAAAGGGCTGTTTGGGCTTGATCCTCAGATATCCCTAGATTCGTCATGCTGGACCCTGATATCCTGAACCCCTTCATTATGCCCCTCGCTCTCTCTAACAGCCACTGAGAAAATCGGTCCACCCCACCCTAAAACCCCATCATCCACAAAATTTGTGAGAGCTTAGCGATGCGGTCATCCTTTACAGAATTGACAATGAAATCACGGTATCTACTGGAAAACTGTTTACGGACACCCATAGTTGGGGATCGGAGAGTTAGGGTACAAGGCTTTGGTTGTGACACAACTGGGGTTCCAAGCACAGCTGGGGTGTGTGGACCTTGGGTAAACCTTGCAGGTGGTTGACGGCGTTCCTATACTGCGCCAAGTATAATTCTTTCTCATTCCCCTGCGAAGACGTGACTGTCCTGGTTATTTGATGGCAGCCTTAATCCTAAACTCCAGGATAGGGTTTAGGGTTTAAGATGCTGGATCATCCCAAGGCTCTTTAAGGCTTTGGTGTTTCAGGGTTGGCTGGTTGCGGGGACTTGGCTGGTAAGCTGTAACTCTCTGTACTATCGACTGCTAGGGCATGCTCGAAATTCTTTGAAAACAAGAGAAGCAAGCGCACCCTCTGAACGGAACAAACCTGAGAAAGACCTATCAAAGATCTTCTTTAAACAGAGCTTCTGTAAAGAGTGTTCCAGTATTCTTCCGATTAACTTGTTTTGAAAAACCCTTGGCCCAGACCTGGTCCGAAACCAAAAACCCGTCATTTATTGCCCAGCCATGAGGTCTTCCAAAAGCCACCCCGCTTAGCCCAAAGGCTGTCTCAAAGCCAGTTCGCGCAAGAATCCCCTGCCAAAGCGCCTGATGAGAATGCCCAAATCGTGGAACACCCTCGTAGGACCCTGTTGTGAAATCATTCCATGAAATCGTGAAGCTGAAGGTGTCTGAGTTTGATGGTGAAACCTATATGATACGCTAGGACCAGCCTCGTAATCACCACGTACCAAAGCGATCAGGCTCAAAATTGAGGACTCCACTCTTTCCTGCTCTTTCATCTCTGAGAACCTGCAGGGGGTGGAGAGTCATCCCCTTTTTTTAGTGACTTGCGGGATCCTACAGCTGCAGGTGGGATGCAGATGATTCAGGTATGGGAGGATGCTCACGGTCGCATGCAGCAGTCGAGATGCCTGGTGACCTCATGGAAGGACGGATCATGTCCAGGAATGAATACGGGTGGATATGGGTAGTTCCCAAAATTCTGGGCCCCTTTGGGTATAATTAGATTCTATTACGGCACCTAATATTTAGGGGTACAAAAATGGGACCCCAATTTTGGGAACTACCCATATGAAGGTCTGCACATGCCAGAAGGTGCCTGTTTTTCTGCTCCGGAGTTTTGGACGTAGCAGGCCCGACCACACAAAAGCGACTGCGTGAACTCTGTGCCTGCTCAGTGAATATGCATTGGAAGCCTGTCAGGACCTTTAGTGGCAAAAGACCAGTATGGCAAAAGCCGAGTATGAGGGGCCCCGAGGAGAGCATTTCAGCAGCTTCCGCATCGAAGCCACGACACGTAATTAATCCTCAAAACCCCAAGCCCTGCCAACCTCGTGTGAAGGCCATGAGCATGGTCCAACTCCACGATGCTGTTACGCAGCTTGATCAAGATCTCCTCCGCCCTTGGATGAAAACCCTACGCGCTTTTGACGTCTTCGATGACTCGTGCTTGATCAAATCTGTAGCGATGAGCACTACCGGCTGCGTTACTAATCAGTGTTTCAAGGGCTCCAAAGGGGCCCCAGTACCCCATGATTCAACACTAGACGCGAACGCTAGGCCAGGTCTAGTGGGACATAGACCATTCTGGAGAAATCTTGTGAACGTCTACCCATGCATGAGACATAAGACATTGCCCAAGCCGTTGAATTTCTCACCTACCCGCTTACTTACAAACACCCCTTGACAATACTGCGCTCAATAAAATATGGCAATACCATGACAGAATATCGAATTTTAGAGCGGCGCTGAGGGGGTGCCAGGAGTATCTTTTTGAGGCGAGTACTTCAAACAAAGAACCGGCCTGCAATCCAATAGTTCCTACAGCATCATAGCAGTTTCCACGATTTGCTAAGTTTTATAATTTAGAACTACGGAAGAACGAGATTTGGAGCAGCAATTGCGTTTCTGAAGAATCATCACTGGCATTCTGTTTTAGACTTTGACCTGGTTCTAGCTCCTGCATGTAGGGAGGGAGCCGCATGGCAATACATTGCACGGAGGCTTTTAGCACTGTTTGGGGTTGAACATTCTGAAGCAGGCTCCAAAATCTGAGCATTTCCCATAACAAGGCCTCACATAGAGATAACTGCTTTAGAACGCCGGCTTCGTTACCTCAGGCCCTTGTATCCCATTAAGACCTTGAGGGAGGTTTAGGGTTTTAGTGTACCTCTGAAGCAGAATCCAAGTGCCCCCTCAGGCCCTGGCGTGGGCTTCGACGTGGTATCCAGAACCCATTCTATGAAATCCATGGGTTTCATCTCGGCCTCCGCCTCCAAAGGGGTTATGTAAGTTGGGATATATAGGGATCATAATACAGTGGCTATAGTCTAGTGTGTATATAGGGCTTATAATATAGGGGGTGTATAAGGCTCATAAAATGGGAGGAGGCTTACGGGTGCAAACTGTAGACTCTGTTCATCCCCTGCAAGCTGGGGAGCTAACCTCACATTTGCTTATTTGCTGAGTCCAACACGTTGAACAGGTTGAGACATTGAAGTTGCTAACGTGCTGTGTAATCCCCTCTCCCCTCCAGCGAAGAATACCTCCACACCCTGCAGCAATCAAAAAACAAAATTCCCCTCATTATACAGACAATGGTACCATATTGGGGAGGGGAGGGGTGAATTCTACTTTCCTTCTATACGCGCTGTAAACAGTCGTAGCGTATAAATATTCTACAATAATCTCGCCAGCATTAGAAGCAGAGACCGTGGCTGGCTTCAGCTGGCCCCGCTTACAAAGAAACTGCTTTTGTGTTTACCTACCCCGCAGGCTACACCCCAAATTCAAGCCGGCCACTCTATGGCAATTTCAGAACCTGGATTTAAGCCAATTTGCGCTTTGTTCTATGACCACCATTCGGAAGTGACTGAAAGGAGTACTGTTCCTATCGCCCCATGCACTGTTGGCAGGTGCAGCACACCCTCCGCTCACACACAGTCTCACAATAGTGATATGATATGAAATCCCATCGTGATGACTTCCATATTCCACCCCCTATTCTAAGAAGACCTGCCTGGCGATGACTCTAGCGCAAGCCTCTACTGATCTGTTTATCCCTTGAGGCCCACTCCTGCAGATCGGTCAAGTCTATCACTCTCAGGATCTTGCCTTTGCTGAAGGCGCGTGACTTAGGGCTTTGGATTGGAGTGTCTGGGATCTCTTCTCTGGGATTCATGGCGCAACTCAACCCTTCCTGACTTGCCGAAGGAGCAGGGGAGCAGATGAAACACAGCGCAGAAGAGGCTCTCAAAGGCCAAGGTGCGCTCATCTACATTCATATCCATGTAGAACCTGGCTGAGGAGCAAAGGTATGGGAGCATCAAATGCAGGTCGCTTTACATAGGGATGTTTTTGGTTCAGGTGCAGTTTTTGCTGGAGGTCGGGAGAGACGAGATTCGGTCCCAAATCCTCTTAAAAGCGACCTGGGCAAGAGAGGGCCAAGAAATGAACACCTTAGGTGGACCCCCCACCCAGTACTAGTGACTATTTTGGATAATGAGGATTATATTAGGGTCCTCTGATATTCCTATTATACCACTGTTACAGGGTGGGGGGTCCTCCTAAGGAACACCAAACAAGGGAGGCCTGGCTGCTCAGCCTACCTTCGCCCGAAGCATTACGGTGAAGTTCCGAGGAGAGGGGACTCCACATCACCCACAGGTACTGGGAACTGTCTTCCATCCACATGCAAATAACCATGTAAATTATCCACTTGAATCTGGTCGGATTTGGCTGCTTTTTGCGCACGGGTGTTCATATCTGCGGTGCGCACATGGGAGTAGGTTATTGAGTAGTTTTTTTGGTGGTTGAACCTAGTAAGACTATATTCCTTACATAAAATACTACGCCCCAAAAGGAGGATATAATCCTACCATATGGTGACTATAGTGGGTACCATAGTATCCCCAAATAAGCTACAACCCATTTTGGGCCCCGCTATTATCTTCCGCTGTGCAGCCAAGAAGCGAGTTGACATAGCAGGCCTTCTTTGCACACTCGATGTCCAAGTCCAGGATATCCTTCGTAACCCATTAGGGTTTAGGGTTTAAAGCTAAAAAAGTATCCAAGAACCCCGCCACAAAAAGATTTGGAAACCTATGGGATTATTGGGAGGTTCCATATCGGGATCCCTTTAGGAGGTCTGGGTACTAGGGTTACGACATGCATTCATGGTGAAATTGGGAGGCGGGGTCCTGTTGGCATTGCAAGAGCCCTGTGATTCTTAATTAATCCCTACTAAATGAGGTTTTACCCGTAAACGAAAAGGTGACCCCAATATTATGACCCTAATAGTCGCCTAGGATCCCATAAAAGGATCCCCAAACCCTGGCCTAGCGGTACAAGACTGAAACCCTCCATTGCACTCCCTATCAGTTTTAAGGGCCCCCATTTTGGAGAAACTCCCAGGTGAGCCACCGCGACTCCGAGGACAAGTGCCTTGACATCTGCCTTCTACACTGACCCACGAGGGTCTAGGGTTTGAAAGTGCACACGATGTAGCTTGCTGGTGGTTAGTGCACCTGTACAATGGTCCTCATAGGCTTGCCAACAAGAATCCCTATACCTTGCTAGCGATACTAAACCCTAAATTTGCGACCTGCCTCCACCCATGGGTGTAATATTAAGGGCTATATATAGCTATAGTATCAATATTATCCAACTGTTGTTGGGTGAGGGTAGGACCCAACCCTGAATAGTACAGTAGCTTCAGCTTTTTCGCTTCGCCACCAGGCACCAAAAAGAAAAACATCAGCATGCCACCTGCGTTCCCAGTCTCCGAGACCCACAAGTCGCGAGTTGCTTCGGCATACTGGGCAATGTACCTATGTTCTGTAGCTGCCTGGGAAACCTCCCAGATTTGTCTTTATGGTGGATTTAGAAGGAACAAAAATATTTTTCAGGACATCCCGAGGGTTCAGGGGGTCCTCGAGTGAGGTAGCTGTTCTAAGATCTGCCATTTGATGTCAAGGTAGTGAAGGAAGGAAGTTCAAGTTTCTTATATCGTGTTATAGGGATTGCATAATGGAGTCTCTGGGAACCCCCTGATCTGTCAGCACGCGTGGAAATAACAACCAAAAACCACTATCATTATTACGAATATTTCTATTAGTATCACTATTAATATTGTTAAGACTACTATTATTAATTAGTATTCTTACGAAAACAGAAGTCAGATCCAGACTAGGGAGTGATGTTCTCTGTATAAGAGAGGCCTCGGAGCACAGACAAAAAGCAATGACTCACTTTTTGGGAGGAAAGTGTGCGTACCACTTTTGGGGGGGGGGCAGAAGATGGGAACCTTATTTCGCGGGGACTATCTATTTCCTGTAATTTTGAATATTACTACGCCCACGACTATGATCATTGGTATTTCTACAACTAGTATGACAATCATCAGGAAATATCGCGGAAGAGGGTTTGGCTGGTAGGTGATCCTACGGTTCTATAAGGATTCTTAGGGGTAATGTTGGCAATTATGTAGGCTTCTACATTACTAGTTGAGGGGTATGGGGGAATGAAATCCGTTGCTATCGCACGATGTACTTGGGCATCCACCCTGCCACTCCCCTGCACATAAATGCAGGAACTTATCTTTGCTGCTGCCTGCATCCCAGAACCAGGCCACCACAACTCATCATGCGGCCCTGGTGCTCGTTGGCATACTCAATGAACATGGTAGTGCACATCGGCGAGTTGGCCCTGAATTTGGCGCATGAATCGCTTACTCCCAGGAGAATGCTAGCGATACACGTGGTAGCTATGCTGCCACGCCTAAGCTATATGCTTAGTATGGGCACATGACGGTATCATACTTGTATGTTCTAATGACATTTCTGATGATATCGAACCTGAACTCACCCTAACTAGAAAGAAGAATGAACCTCAGTCCGGCAAAGGTCACAGCAGTACAAATGGCTCAAAAACATCGGCCTTCTCTGGGCCTTTGGGTCAATGTTGCGATACTACCCCCGCAGCGCTAGCAGATGTCGAAAGAATGACTAGCGGCAGCTAACCCCGAACTGAAATCTTCATTGCCGCCCAGGTTCAGCAAACTTGCCAGTGAGGTGCTGGAAAGCACGAAAACCTGAGAAAAGTTAGGCACGGTCAGACCAGATTGCACCGATGAAGGCTGCTTGAAATATGGTAGTTTCCCTAAATAGGGGGACCCCAGTATAGACCCACTCATTTTGGGAAACCCTAAACCCTGTTTTTACCCCTGTATATCCCCATATACCCTTAAAAAATCCCTATGTACCCCTATATATCCCTATTGATCCCTGGGAAAGCTCCAAATATTATTTGGGGGATCCTGCTGCTGTGGCCCCTTTGGAGGTGCTGCCTGCCGACCTGTGAGCTTCATATATAGAAATAATGGAAAAGAAAAGGAAAGTACTTTAGTGGGATTCTGGGGTTCTATAGGGTCTAGGGTTTAGGATGTATAGAGATGATGAAAAAGAAAATGGAAACATTACTTAGTGGATATATAGGGGTATGACAGGTGTTATACAGGGGTATAATCTAGGGATAGTGGAAAAGAACATGGAAGATACAATAGCATATAGGTGGCGATGCCGATATGACACCCCTGCCATAGTGGAGAAGCATCGTCCTTTTCAAAAGGCGCCCGCGCGCCGCACCATGTTGCACTAGAATATATAAACATAAATCTTTAAACCTCTGAACCTAATCCTTCCACAAGCGGATGTCTTAAGTTGTGGAAACCCTAAACCTAGATACTTACTTACCCTTTGATCTACATGTAATCCGATTAAAACAATCAAGAAACCGCTCAAAACGGACTCCTGATTTTGAGAACCCACGCATGGTAGTTGTCTAACTGACCTGTCCTCAATATGGCTAGAAGGTAAGTTCCCTTTTTGGTTAGGACCTCCTTTTAAAGGATGTGCATTCTCAACTTCACTCCACTGAAGCACCTTCAGATTTGTCTGGCAGACTCAATTTCCACACGCCACTTTCAACCTTCAAAGGCACAGGCGTGAGGCTTTAGCGAGCAGTGCCTCAAAGAGATCCGGCACATGGGCTCTCTGAGCTGTAGTGTCGAAGTCAAACGTGAAACACGGCGGGGGTGGACGTCAAAACCCTACATAATATGGTAGTTTCCATGTTCTTTTCCATTATCCCCATATTTCCAAACCCTAAGGCGCAGCACCACCTCACAGAATCACCCCAAAATGGTCAAGTCAAACGATCATCCGTGCCTTTGGCAGCGGTAGATGAGCATTTCAAGCAAACTCATTGCCACAAGAACGCCAATCCGGGGAACTTCTCAGCATGGCTTTGCTTAGAGAACTTCGACACGACCATGTCGAAGTCTTCTGGCGTCCACTCAATCTTGTCGGGGGGATGATTTGAATCATCTGCCACCCACGCATCAGCCGCAAGCCAATCGAAATGTTTTCCTGCCTCGCCCCTGTGGAAGAGCGAAAGGCACAAATGGAACTGGGATCGGTTGAGTTTGCCCCCTTGGTCGAGGAAGAACTGACGAATCACCTGGGTTGCTTATGAGCTTAACCTAAGTTCCCATAACTAATGTTGTTCCACAATTATAGCATCATAAATCAAACTACTCAACAGCAATTCTAAACCCTAAGCCCCAAAACCCTTAACCCTAAACCCCCAATGCCTCTAAGCCCTTTTGCCCTAAACTCTCCGTCCTAGCAACTTGATCTCCTTTGAAATGCTCGGAGAATTCGAAGTCATCCTCTGCATCAGGTTCCTCCGGCTCCTCATCGGATTCCACAACCACCGGAGTAGGGTCCTCTGTACTTCAGGCGGTTTAGGGTTGAGGGTTTAGAGGGTTGCCCCAGGAATGGCGAATCATATGGAAAAGAAAATGGAAAATGACATGGAGACAGGGGGTTCCACCACCACTGAAGTAGGGTCCTCTGCGGTATCCCAAAAACAAAATGGAAACTACTATGGTATTTGGGTTATATAGGGGTTAGATCGGAACTATCTAGGGTCTAAGGGTTTACGGTTTAGGGTGTAAGCTTTAGGGTTTAAGGTTTAAGGTTTGAGGTTGTTGTTTTTCAGGTTTGAGGTTTAGGATTCAGGGTTTTCATGTTCCGCTGGAGTAGGGTCCTCCGTTGTGTCGAAGTCTTCTCCATCATCGGGGTCTGGAGTCAAGTCCACTTTAGTTAGCCCAAGGATGGCGAACTGATTGAGAATATTGAAGTCTGGGCTTCCTGCGTAATCATATTGCACGTAGCAGTAGCCCTTGTCTCCCCAGTGCTCACCCCAGCTTTTTCGAACAATGAAGATTTTCTGGCGGTCGTTGTAGCCGACAATCAGCATTGCATGCAAGCCATGTCGCGCTGCCCTTTCGTCTGTTCCTGGGATACTGTTGAGCCATACTTGGTGGGTCAGGGGGACTTAGTAAGAATACTTATAACCCCTATAAACCATATAATAACCCCAACTCTCCCTACTATTACACCACTTACTAAATCCCCTAACCCTCCAAGTAGGGTTGTCAGGGCTAAGAGTTTCTAATGAAATATCTTCCAGCATGATCATCTTCAATACATGTTTGGTCCAGGCCTACATTACACACCCTAAACTCTCATTCCACGACAGCCCAGGCTCTGCTTGGTGTTGCGATGAAGCCGCCCGGTCCGGGACAAAAGAATTTCTCCGTAAGCGTAAGGCCGAAAATGATCGGATGTCCCTCTGCCAGACCTAGGGTTTAGGGTTTGGGGTTAATTATGTTGGCTTGGGGTCTCTAGAAAAATCAAAATTCTTATAGCTCTCTAGGAGACGTGTAAGGTTTTATGGCTCATGATATTGAAAAAATGTTTTCAGACCAGCCCCGCAGACATTGTCGCATGGCGTCGACGTCCACAGGCACCCTCTTGGTTTCCGTGACACGATACTTCCTGGCCTCTGTGAAGCACTCCTCTGTGGGTCTTTCGTTGACCTTCGTAAGATCATAGGGCCATGAGGTCTCCAGACAGGCACCACTCACCTGCATAGCGGCAATGCCAGCAGAGAGACTCATGCCTTCGTCTTTGGGCGCCCTTTTCTCCACGCCCTTTTTCCGAAATATCGATGCCTCGTCCTCCATGTCTTTCTTTCGCCCAACGTAGTAGATGATCAGTCGGGAGACATCACCCGGGGTATCTCCGGTTGCCTGCGCATGCTTTTGATTCAGGTACTCATAGGCTCCTGCCACAGCATTGGCACAGCAACTGTTACTTTGCGACTGGTCTTCGATTTTGCTCATGTACTTGCGAAGGTCCACCTTCGCTGGCAAATCGTCTGTGGATTTGTACGGCTGGAAATCCTTCGTCATGGCGGGTTCTTCCGCAGACCGTAGGGAGCAAACACCTGGCCGCCACACTTCACTCTACGGCGGAAGAGTCGTGGAGGTTGCACCTTTGCCAAAGCCACCTGCAAACACTTCAACCACAAAGGTTCTCATGGGCGCAGCGCTTCTATGATATGTCTTAACTCCCATGTCAGATGTCTGAGATGGTACATACGAAATGACAATTCAATACAACTGGGTAACTGGGTACAAATTCCGGATCATGGGGAAGACTTCCAAGGGACATCAAGAGGAGTCGAAACAAAATCAAACATCATGGCATGGTCAACCAGCATGCACACACCGCCGGACAGCACATTGACTGGCACCTTCACTCTGTCACGCTCCTCAGGCGTGAAATCAGCCACGACCTTTTAAAGGTCAGCTACAGTGGCTTGCTGCAGCTGTGAAGCGAAGGACGACCCACCTGATCCCATGGCTCTGGGGCAGGTTCTCTATCCCCGTTGCCAAGTCTGTACTTGCTCTGGGCCAAATGCTTCAAGCATCCTCACGTCAATCTGGTCCCTTCGCCACTTCTTCTCTTTGAACAAACACTTCATGAGACATCATTGGCCCGGCGTGGGCGGTCTCGTACTTCGCCAGTCAGCCCGAGACACGAAAGACCTTCATAACAATCCCCACATCTCTGAGGCTTCAACTTCTGCAAAGGACTCGGCCTCAGCAAATACGAACGCCGAGTACTTGAGGGGTGGCTTTCGCGTGGCTGCCTGCTCTCTCGAAAAGTTTTATAACCACAAGGAGAAAACGATCTTACTCTTGGTTTGGGACTTCCGGGACTACAGCCCCCTATTCCAAACTGCCCTCTTGAGGAACAACGCGGATTGTGTTGCACAGTGTCGTGGACTTGGCGGGGACATTGAGATGTTAGGCTTCCTCCCGTCGGCTGCGGATTATAACTTTTGAAGGTCGCTAGTTGTCTGGGGACTGAGCCTCATCTACCCCAAAAAAATGTTGACCCCAGTTTTACTAAATCACAGCCAACCAGGGACGCAGCCATAACCCCCACTGGTAGGGGGTGAATTCTCCGCCCAGGTGGGGACTATCAGCGGATTATGGGGGTCCATACTACGGATTATGGGGGATTACAAGGGTAGCTCCAAACATTAGAGTCCCATTTTGTCACGTAATGTAGCTTACAGCCAAAATGAAGCCCTTAATTTTGAGGAAAACACATAAGATCCAAAGTCAACCCTAGACCCCAAACCCTAAATCCAAAGTCTCGCAGCTTGGGGCCCAGGCTGTCAGCGTGCACACGTGCATCACAGCTTCTGCGTAGAGGGCGACCTGCCGGGCTCATCGCGATAGCGAAATGCGGGGGGGTTCACAAAATTAAAGGTACCTTTGAAGGGTTAGAAGGGTTTATATGGGATAAAATAGGGGATATATAGGGTTATATAGGGAGATATACAGTTTAGAGTTTCCGGGGCGTTCATAATAAGAATTATAGTGTTTGGGTCTATGGGCTCCCCAAGTTCAGGGAAACTAACATTTTGACAGAAGCGATCAAGGGGCAAACGCTGCCAACAGTAGTAGAGACCATGGATTCCTTCCAATGGTCAAGAACTAGGTTTCCGTACCAATATTTCCTAAAAAAGGGGTCCCCGCTGCATACTTGCAGATACGACAATCCACCCCCCAAAAAAGTGGATCCCTAAACCATCTAACTCTAGCCCTATCTACCTCCATGAACCACCAAAGACAAATTCCTAACTACTCTAAGGGATTTGGAACCTCAGTAGAAATTCTAATTTCAGCTAAAT